ATAAAAAATATGTATAACAGCCTGGCCGGTGTGGCTCAGTGGTTGAGCGTTGACCTATGAACCAGGAGGTCACGGTTCGATTCCCGGTCAGGGCACATGCCCGGGTTGCAGGCTCCATCCCCAGTGTGGGGCACACAGGAGGTAGCCAATCAATCATTCTCGATCATCATTGATGTTTTCTCTCTCTCTCTCTCTCTCTCTCTCCCTCCCTCCATCCCTCTCTCTATTTCTTTCTCCCCCCTCCCCCCTTTTCCTCTGTGAAATCAATAAAAATATATATTTTTTAAAAAGATAACAGCATTCTCTCTTCTAAAGAATAGTTCATGATCTTGATGAAACTCTCCATTTTAACTGTTAAATGGAAAAAAAAGAGTTAAGATTAGAAATAGGCAGATTCTTCGCAAACTGTTTTAAGGCTGGAAGCACATGTTAAACTAACCAATCACGCATCTTCAGAATCACAGTCGAAGTCATTTTTGCTCTAAAAGGTAAAAAATAAAATAAAATAATGGGAAGCTCAAGGGCCACATGAAAGCCGTTGGAGCCTGATCCTCTGAGCTCGGCGGCACCCTGCGGCCGGGCGCCCGACGGAGCCACGGGCCAGGCGCTCCGTGGGGTCACAGCTGCCTCCCCCACGCTGGCAACCGGCGTGGAGAATTCCTGTGAGGACTCTCTGGTAAGCAAGCCTTTAAGCCTCCCCGCAAACAGCCGTGCATTCAACCGATCCTGAGCTGTGCTTCCCAAAATAACTTGTTCCCTTGGAGCCCCGGTACTTATGTGCACGCAGTGGTTCTGTGACAGGCAGGCCCAACTGTGGCTCTGTGTTTTTTTAAATATATTTTTATTGATTTCAGAGAGGAAGAGAGAGATAGAAACATCCATGATGGGAGAGAATCATTGATCGGCTGCCTCCTGCACGCCCCCCACTGGGGATCGAGCCTGCAACCCAGGCACGTGCCCTTGGCTGGAATCGAACCTGGGACCCTTCAGTCTGCAGGCCGACGCTCTATCCACTGTGTGGCTCTGTTTTAGGCAGTGGCAACATTCATTGGGCTTTCATCAGTCTCTTCTTTTAAAAAAAAATTTTATTGTTTTATTTTATTGATTTCAGAGAGGAAGAGAGAGGGAGAGAAAGATAGAAACATTAATGATGAGAGAGAATCATGGATTGGCTGCCTCCTGCACGCCCCAGACTGGGGATGGAACCTGCAACCCAGGCATGTGCCCTGACCGGGAATGGAACCGTGACCTCCTGGTTCCTAGGTCGACGCTCAACCACTGAGCCACACCAGCTGGGCTCATCATTCTCTTCTTGAGGATGAAATCAAGTTTAAAGAAAGGCACATTGATGTCTCCCCGGCCTCAGTCCAGCCCAGGCCCGCAACCGGGGAAGCCGCTAGTACTACACAGACGGTAAAATAAGTATTCTTTAATTCAGGTTCATCATCCTGTTACTATTTTCAGGGACCCAAATACATGGCTGCTACACAGAGGGATTAAGCATCATTAACAACAAAACAGCTCTCAGCTCCACGCCCCTTTCTCCGCCCCCGTGTTGTGGGCAGAGACACAGTTCTTTTTTTTTTTTAAATCCTCACCCGAGGATATTTTCCCATTGATTTTTAGGGAGAGTGGAAGAGAGAGGGAAAGACAGAGAGAAACATGGGTGTGAGAGAAACACAGCGATTGGTTGCCTCCTGCACGAGCCCCAACCAGGGTCCCGGCCGGGAAGGAGCCTGAAACCAAGGTAAGTGCCCTTGACCAGAATCAAACCCGGGACCCTTTGGTCCATAGGCCAACGCTCTATCCACTGAGCCAAACTGGCTAGGGCCAGAGCACACAGTTCTAAGCCAGCAACAGCCCCCCAGCAGGTGCGTCTACAGGTGTCCTGGACATATGGGAAGCGCTCTGGGTGACAGAAGGATTTGTACAATCAGGGAAGCCGGGCCTTGGCAAAGCTCCTACCTACTCACACAGGAGGGTCCCAGACTGAGATCTCCTCCATCAAACTCTTCCCAGGGCTCATGCTGAATGAGACTGTTGACAAAAATATATACTAAAGTGTTGGTATCCTGAGCCATTTCAGACGATTATATATTACTAGAGACCCGGTGCACAAAATTCGTGCACAGGTAGGGTCCCTAGGCCTGGCCGGCGATCAGGGCCGATCTGTGGGGCGGTCAGGGGAGCCCCTGCTGGCACGCACCTTGGCTGGCCTGGGGCCTGGGGCCTGGGGGCAGCTCCTGCATTGAGCATCTGCCCCCTGGTGGTCAGTGCACATCATGGCGACCGGTCGTTCTGCCTGTTGTTCCGCCATTTGGTCGATTTGCATATTAGGCTTTTATTATACAGGACAGTATAAAACCCATAAATATATGCTTCTATATTGTAGCATAAAGTGACCTGGTAGGCAATGTGACAAGACATCAACACTACTTTTTTCTAGGATCTGGATTTCCTTTTTTTTTTCTTTTTTCTTTTTTTAAATATATTTTATTGATTTTCCACAGAGAGGAAGGGAGAGGGACAGAGAGTCAGAAACATCGATGAGAGAGAAACATCCATCAGCTGCCTCCTGCACACCCCCCACTGGGGACGTGCCCACAACCAAGGCACATGCCCTTGACCGGAATCGAACCCGGGACTCCTCAGTCCACAGGCTGATGCTCCAGCCACTGAGCCAAACCGGTCAGGGTGGATCTGCATGTTCTATAGTGAACACCTATGACTTCTGCGATCATTTCAAAACATGTCTGTAGACAGTAACTGGGAAGCGTGCGTACAATTTGTGAGCCCAGGTTCTTTGCTCTTCCCTGGTCATCTGTGACAAGAAGGGACTCCAGCTCCCCACTCAAAGCAGGAAAAGCAATGGTCACAGGAGCAAAGAGAGGACCAGACCTGTGACCTGGAGGAGGTCACGGGGTCAATTTATCAGATCAGTGTGCAGGAGGAGAGAGTACATCCCGTCGGGGCCGACTTCACACGTGGGCAGAGGGAGCTAAACCATCCACATTCACAGGATGCTAAGGGCGTCCCTCCCGCTTTCTTAGAAGTGCTTTCTTCCCACAATTCTTCTTCTCCTGTTGTGCCTGACATCCTGGAGTTAGCTATGCCTTCCGGTGGAGGCATAACTTATCTCAGGAGCTAACAGATACCCCATATTCCACGGGGCCAAGACCCCGGGGTCCTGTTCCAGCCAGTAAACCCATTCAAACCCCACCTTCAGGCTGGCGGGCGAGTGCCAATGGAACAGCCGGCGGGTATTTCTCCAGGAAGAAAAGCAAAGACATCCCGACAGCTGAGGGGCTCCAAGTCATCCACTAGAGACATGTTGCACCCGGCCGGTGTGGCTCCGTGGTACAGCATCGACCTATGAACCAGGAGGTCATAGTTCAATTCCTGCCCGGGTTGTGGGCTGGATCCCTGGTGTGGGATGTGCAGGAGGCAGCCGATCAATGGTTCTCTCTCATCACTGATGTTTCTCTCTCTCCCTCTCCCTTCCTCTCAAAAAAAAAAAAAATAGGTGAAACTATCCCTAGTTTCTGATCTAGAAAACTGTGGGGAGGGAAGGAGCGTGTGTGTGTGTGTGTGTGTGTGTGTGTGTGTGTGTGTGTGTACTCACACAGACACGTGTGTGTGCAAAACATGTTCCCCCACGTCTGTAGACAGGCCAACCTCTTGTCCTATGATGCTCCTTCCTTTGAGATGCGCCGAGCACCGCAGCCAGCCCACTGCACCCTCCTCTCTGCTCTCTGTTCTTTCCGGAGGAATCAGTGCTGTTCCCAGGGAGACGGGGACAGTCCAGACTGTGCTCCAGCGTTCTCCGCGTCAACTCCTCTGCTCAGCGCGGCAGCTCCCACCCACTCCAGCTCCCGTTTCTGTAGGTGTCCCAGCTGCGCCACGGCGGTGCCTTCTCACAGTTTCTGAAGCTGCATGCGCGAAGTTTCCAGCTGAGGGTTCTATTCCTCCCTCACCCCACACGCAAGGAACATCTCACTTGGGGTTCGAGTTCCTTCCTTGCTAAACGCGGCCTAGGGGTAGGGCAGTCCCCAGAGGAAGGTGACAGACACAGGGCGACTCTCCGTCCTGGGACTCCTGCACCTGTGACGGCCATAGCAAGCCTCCACCTGCCTGCCCATCCATACCTGCCTCTAGACCAGCGGTTCTCAACCTGTGGGTCGCGACCCCTTTGGCGGTCGAACGACCCTTTCACAGGGGTCGCCTAAGACCATCCTGCATATCAGATATTTACATGACGATTCATCACAGTAGCAACATGACAGTCATGAAGTAGCAACGAAAATAATTTTATGGTTGGGTCACCACATGAGGAACTGTATTTAAAGGGCCAGAAGGTTGAGAACCGCTGCTCTAGATATTGAAGGCCACCTGAGACCCCAGCCCTCCTTCAAGCCATGGCATGTGGACTCAAGACGTGCCCCTCAGCACTACAGGTCACTGCCCTGCACCTGATAACACACCACGTAAATACCTAGCTCTCGCCGGGCCAGTGTGGCTCAGTGGTTGAGCATCGACCTATGAACCAGGAGTTCACAGTTCGATTCCTGGTCAGAGCACATGCCCAGGTTGTGGGCTCGATCCCCAGTAGGGGGCGTGCAGAAGGCAGCCAATCAATGATTCTCTCTCATCATTGATGTTTCTCTCTCTCTCCCTCTCCTTTCCTCTCTGAAATCAATAAAATACAATTTAAAAATAATACCTAGCTCTCCATCCGGACACTGTCTCCGTTGCGCCAACAGTCCCTCCGCATTAGCTGTCTTTACTTTCAATGCCGCTGTCTTGAGCTTGAAGTCCAGGCGCTCGAAGGGTGAGATCATATCTGCTTAATTGGGTTTATACCACCGCCTGCCCGGGAACAACACCGGCTTATTTAATACGTTTCCTAATCCCTCCTGATCACTCTCAAATGGGTGACTTCCTCACGGCTGCCTCCATCGCCTCTGGCCGGTGTGCTCGGGGGCCCCAGCAGGGGCCCTCACCCGCTCCAATCTCTTCTGCAAACAATACGGGCACCACAGGGACGGGCTCTTCGGGGCTCAAAACCTGCTTGGACAGTGAGGCCCACGCTCGCTCCACCATCCCCGACCCCTACATCCTGGCCCAGTTACCCATCCATTTTCTCTCAAACTTGAAGCTGCATCTTTTTTTTTTTTTAAATGTATTTTTATGGATTACGGAGAGGGAGAGAGAGAGAAACATCAATGATGAGAGAGAATCATGGATCGGCTGCCTCCCGCACACCCTCTACTGGGGATCGAGCCGGCAACCTGGGCATGTGCCCTGACCGGGAATCGAACCGTGACCTCCTGGTTCATAGGTCAATGTTCAACCATTGAAGCCCCGCCAGGCTGGGTGAAGCTGCATCTTTAGCTTCAGTGGA